CTAGCCTTAACGTTTGAACACGTGGCCGTAGCACGTCAGTAAGGCTCTTGCAAATTGTTAAAGGCATTTACAGGTTTTTTAAAGAGAGAATTATTGGGGTGTTACACAGTCCCTTTGTACAAAAGGACAACTGAGAGAAGCTGTGGAGCTGTTCTCAAAATCTCACATGTCACCTTTCACAAGTTAAAAAAAAAAGGGAGGCTCAGAACACATACAAGCACAATCACCCAGCCCTGACATCCAACCACAAGATAGCAAGACTGAAATGGGTTTTAAGTCATCTGCTGCCTGCTGCAGAGAATGCTAACCCTAAGTTTGAGGATATGCAGCAATTCATATACATAGATGAAAAATGGTTCTACTTGAATCCAGAAACAAGGAGTACTTATCTGTTGCCAAATGAACCAAACCCATACAAGTGCCAACAGTCCAAAAAGATTCAAGGTAAAAGGCATGTTCATGGTAGTCATTGGCAAGCCAATTTTTTGATACCCATGGACTAGTGCTACATGATGGAAAGTATAGAATCTTTCCATTTGTTTATGAGAGCACTGCAAAGAAAAAAGAAAAAACAAAGAGGCTGGAGCTGTGGAAATTAAGGCAACACAGAATGTAAACAAGGAGGCAATCAGGGCAATGCCTCTCAACAATGTAATTCCAGCCATAAAAAGTAAATGGCCACCCCATCTGTCTAAGGACATATGGATTCAGTGGGATAATGCCAGACCTCATCAAATTCCTAAGGATGAGGAATTCATTGCTGCATGTCAGTCACATTGGTTCAACATTCAGTTCATTACCAGCCAGCACAGTCACCTGACTTAAATGTGCTAGATCTTGGCTTGTTCAATGTCATACAGCCCATACAGTACCAGTCATTCCCTAAGAACTTGGGGGAACTCATAGCCAAGGTCAAAGAGGCTTATGACTTGTTTAATCCAGTGTTGAACAAGCACTGTTGGATAACACTACAATGTTGCATGGAAGAAATACTCAAGCATCTAGGGGGGAATAATTTTACCCCACCACACAAAGGGAAGAAAATGCTGGAAAGACTTGGCTTGCTTCTAGAATAAATAGAGGTGGACAGGAATGTGGTTTAACAAGCTGTTGATTATCTCAACACTTTATTCATATCAACAGGTGAAGGAAATGAAGATGATGAAGGCATGCAAGTTGATGCAGACTAAACACATCTCAGACACATGAGGAAGGTGACAGTGAGACTGCCACACATAACCAATGAAGAGCATGAACCAACTGGAAAACTAGTAGGTAGTCTTTTATGGTTTTAGTTTGACAACTGTTTGAGTTTCATTGGTTAGGTGTATTTTGTTTAAATTCAGGGTTAATATTGTAAGGCAGTCTTAACTAGCTTCTTTTGAACATGTAGAACCTTTTGAAAAACTTAATGATATCAATTGTGGTTGCTTTATGTACAAGAAGTGATTACATTATGTTTTTCACTGTGATACATAGACACACACTAGTTTAAATCCATCAGAGGGTGTTGCTTTATCACATAAATTGCATAAGTGGTTCCCTCAACAACAACTTACAGTTGAAGTTGTTGGAGCAATTCCAACTTATGAAATTTTTTTGTCAAATGAGTCCCTTCATCACTTGGATTTTCACACACAGACACTACATTAAGGGACTCCTAGATCAACACTACTAGAAAACAGCTTGATTCTGACGGAAATAATCCGTTGGAATCAGTCGAAATTTCGTCGGAATGTTTTGTCACAAAACCCTTCGTAGGAAATTCGACCTTTTCTGATGGAAGGCTTGTTTCCGACGGATTTATTTATGTCGGCGCTTTTTTTGACTTTAATTGAGATTTTGTCGCAATTTTTCAACGAAAAATATTCCATTGGAATATACCTCTTCCGACGGAAATTTCCGTCGGAGTTGGAGAGGTTTCTGACAGAAATTTCCGTCGGAAAAGTCAATAAAAAAACAAAAAAAAAAAAACAGCTCCCACCAACCCCGCCACCAGCCCACACCACCCACTACCACCAGCTGAGGAAGTAGTGGCCTGGCCAGCCTGTGATGCTGCTGTTCCTGTGCTCGTAGTCGTGTCTTGCAAGGAGGCAGTGGCATGACCTTGCTTGTCATCTAAGGCTGTGCTCGTAGGATCTTGAACACCACCCATATCCTCGTCGTTACCATGGTGTACCTCATACACTGCATTGTCAATACACTCCTCATACTCCACAAAATCATCATGGACCTTATAATTCAAACCATTACCATGAGACTCAATGTTGACATCTGCTGGTGTAGCAAATGGAAACACATCCTCAATAAATTTGACGTCCCGAGACACAAAAAAAAATTGGATTCAAGATCATATAATCCCCATCCTTCCTTCCCAAATGGATAACCCACAAAAACACACTTTCGACTCCGACTCGCGAACTTGTCACCATTAGAGTTTTCTGATTATGTGCAAAACATAGACACCCAAAAGTACGAATGACATCAAACATGGGGGGTTTATTAAAAAGGATTTCAAACGGAGTTTTATTTTGCAGCAATGGAGTAGGAGTTCGATTAATTAGGTGAACCGCGACAAGGACACACTCACCCCAAAAATAAATGGGTAATTGTGCTTGAAATCTCAAATCTCTGGCAACTGACAGAATATGTTTGTGTTTCCTCTCAACCCTCCCATTTTGTTGCGGAGTACCCACACAAGAGGTTTGGAATATTATACCCGTGACATCAAAAAATTCACGTAAACAATTAAACTCCGTACCATTATCACTTTGCACAATTTTTATAGTTTGAGTGAATTGTCTTTCTACCATAGCAACAAACATAAAAAACATACGGAAAACCTCTGTTTTACCATTCAGCGAATAAATCCAAACATCTCTAGAATAGTCATCAACAATTTTCAAGAAATAACGAGCTCCGCACGACGAAACATGTCTATACGAGCCCCACAGATCACAATGAATTTTTTAAAAATTCGAGATGCTTTATTATCACTCAAGGGAAAACTATCTCTAGGATACTTAGCACGCATACATACTTCATATACTTTATTTAAATAAGCCTTGCCACTAACGGTGGGAAGCAACTTAACTACTTTCTTGGAAGGATGACCCATACGACGATGCCACAACTCCAAGTCAGACTCTACAACATTAGTACTCACATGATGCACCGAATCCGATTTGCTAAAATAATACAATCCGTCCCTCCTAGCTCCCGTTCCAATCGGCTCCTTCGTTTGGTCCTGTATAGCACACATATAAGCATTAAATTGGACAATACAATTAAGGTCATCACTAAGTTGTGAAACTGAAATTAAGTTACAACTCAAATTAGGAACATAAAGCACCCCGGTGAGGGTGATTTTATCCGACAAACGAATATAGCCAACAAGAGAGGCCGACACTGTTTCACCATTAGGCAACCCAACCGGACACTCAAATCTTGTTGTGTCAAAAAGCCAAGACTTTTCTCCGGTAACATGATGAGTAGCTCCTGTGTCAATAATCCAAGAGGTATCATCAAACTTACCACTCAATCGATTATCGAAAATTGTAGCATTACCCATCAATCCTGTAATCGCTTTCCACTGCTAACTTGAAAATATCCGACCCGAAGCAAAGGAACCCGAGTCGTCCGAACTTGAGCCACCGCCCGTGACTGCATTGGCCTTCACCGGAGCACCACGACCACGACCAGCCGAAAGTTGCCCCCCTAGCTGCCAGCAGCCCCTTCCGGCCAACCATGCTTGTTATAGCAGCGACTTTCTTCGTTGCCCCGCTTTTTACAGAAATTGCACACTTTGTCCGACCAACACTTCACGGTTTCATGACCCACCTTCTTACACTTCTCACACACCGACACCTGCCGATCAGAACCACCACGACCCCTCCCAGCACCAGTCCGTACAGCAAAGCCGAGAGCAGGGGAAGTTTCTTCTTTGAGGCGTGAGATACCTCTAACCTTCTCTTTTTGCGAAACTTGCTGGTAAGCCCTGTTAAGAGAAGGTAGGGGATCTTGCGAGAGCAGTGTGGAATGTATAGAAGCATAATAATCAGAGAATAAACCCAACATAAATTGTTAAAGACGATCCCCATCACGCCTATGCGCGTGTTGTCTCCCTACATGACATGAACATTTCCCACACTTGCAAGCGATTAAGGGTTCTAGGCGATCAAGTTCATCCCACAAAACAGACAATCGACTATAATACACCGCAACCATCATTGATTTCGATTGTTCACAACTATTAATATCGGACTTAAGCTGTTGAATTCTAGGGCCATTAACAAGGCAAAAACGCTCATATAAATCATCCCACAATTTCTTAGCATTATCATAATGAGAAAGCATAGACTTTACCTCGGGGTCAATAGTATTCATGAGCCAAGAAACCAACATACAATGAATTGTAACCCAATCCTCCTTCGTACACGGTGGGGTGAAGGTGATGATACTACCATCAAGTAAACCAAACTTCCGGCGAGAGCACAACGCAATTCGCACGGTATGAGACCAATCATGAAAATTGTCTAATTTGAGACGTTGTGAAGTGATGTAATCCCCTGGACGATCTTGCGGTCCAAGGTAGAAAGGAGAAGTCGCTTCGATTTTTTTGGGTGGTGAAGATGGTGTCTCGCCACCGCCGGTCATCGTGGATCACAGAGAAAAGCAAAAAAAAAAAATTTTTAATGAGGCTCCGATACCATGTTAAATTGGTATAAGCTTACTGCTTGCCTTTCATTGAACTATTAATTCTAATATATACAACCTAAACCTAGAAGTACCTTAACTTAGGTAACTTAGGAATTAGGAAATAATATCAAAGATAAACCAAAAATATCCACCAAAATATCCCCAACATATCTCAATAGATATACATATCTCCATGATTTAAAGAAAAAAAAGTAAGTATAGACTTTCTGGGATTAGAGTGCCGAGATATGCTAGCGTTTGCATATCTCTCAGTTATAAGCCTGCAATTTTTCAACTCAAAATGAAAGAAATAATGAATTTGGATCAAACTTATTGTTACAAGCAAGTCAGTCAGTCAACATCCTACATAAACCAAAGACAACACAAAACCAGACTGTAGAACTAGGGAAATTTCACAACTCGTTGGGTTTCCATATGATCAAACTACCCGTAGAGCTTCTTCTAACAGCAAGAGCAAGCTGCACGCTGAACAGCTTGTTTCAACAAGCATGCACAACAAGCTAAACTTCTTCATCAAGATCATATTCCATCACTTTTTCCCAGGATTTGAGTGTCTTATCTTCAGTATCAGTTTTATACAGTGCCAGGCGGTTTATTTTGAAGCTCAAGTTGCCAAGGCTGTCGTCCAATGCATTAGCTCTCTCTTGAGCTTTCTTCTTCTCTTCATCAGTTAAATCCGCATAAAGAAGGCTCATGTGTGGCATGTAAGCTGCACAATTACATGTAGATGTAGATAATCAGAGAAGAGAGAACATAGTTCAGTAGAATAATCAGGCTAGTATTTTAGTAAACTGTCATCATATCTGTATATATGATAGATAATATCTGTGGAAATAAAAGAGTCAATCATCCAACTTTTTCAAAGATACTTCTGTTTAAAGGAGCACAAACTTTAACCAAATAGAAAAAACGGATTTAATGTTGCAGAGGGAGCGCAAACTTTTAGTTAAAAAAAAAAAAAAAAAAAAAAAAAAACGGATTTAAGGTTGTGGAGTTCAACATTCAGAGTGATGATGTAATTACAAATGCAACAATGTTCAAAGTGAGCTTTTGAATGAACTAAAAACATCTGTAATCAATAATGTATTTCGCAATGACAATAACTCATGATTGCCTAGAATTCATAATCTGCACAAATTATGAATCAACAAGGGTTATCGATCAAATAACCAGAAAGTTAAGGTATGTCAATGGATTGCAGAGTATAGAAGTATCAGAACAGCATTGTTCTGTAACTTCGGAACTCTGCTTTTCTTCCTGTTTGGACTTTATATATATAATTAGGGGTTTCAGGACATTAAAAATAATGGTTTCAGTAAAATTCTATACTCATCTTCTAAAGATAAGTACCCCAACTTCCCAAATTAACACTTTGTTTGGATAGAGAGAAATGGAAGGAAAAGAAGAGAAGAGAAAGGGAGAGGGACAAATTCTCTTGTTTGGGTAAAGGATGGGGGAAGGAAGGGGAAGGAGAGGGAGGATCCATTTTTCCTCTCTCTTTACGGTGTGTTTGGATTGAATGAAATGGAGGGAGAGGAAGGGAAGAGACATGGAGAGATGGGGTATCTTTCATTTGCATAACAAATGAGGAAGGAAAGGAATTGGAGGGGAGAGAAATAGAAGGATTAAATTGTACGAAATTGATCCCTCCATCAATGGAGAGATTTGGAAGGAAAACTCACCATTCTTCCCTCCCCTCCTCTTCTTCTCTCTCCTCTTCTTTTCCTTCTCCTTTCTTTATCCAAACACATTGTTAATAAGCATAATCTCTCCAAAATTAGAGAAATTTAGAGGAAAAATGGAGCTCACCTCCCCCTCCCTTTCTTTTCCCTTCCCTTCCTCCTTCCACCCCCCCTTCCTTTCCTTCTTTTCTATCCTAACAAAGCGTAAGTGAAGATATAGATGTTTTAAAATTCTAGTATTTTTGGCCAATAAAAGTTTAAATCTACTGCTGTATGAAGTAATACCATGGAGAACATACATTTATCTCATCTAGAGCCATATCCATCAATTTAATTAAAATTAATATGAAGCAGTATCCCATTCAACTTACGTGTGGCGCGATTATAACCAAAATGTCCACAGCAATGATCACTAGTTTCAACTAACTGTACAAAGAAATCAAAAACCATTTCAAGTCAGACATTATGAAGTAACGTATTGCTTTATCACAACTTAAATTCATCATTAGAAGATCCAATTTAAATAATGACTTTCACTTGTTTGATCAAAATTTAGTTAATTTGCTTGTAACTTCTAATACTCAAAACTCGATTTTGCTAAACATATTTGAAATCCGCAATGTAAACAAAAATAACAGTTGGTCAAACAAGCCAAGTGAACATCTCAGAGCCAATTGATTGCCTTGAAAATCATTCTTAAGAAAAGTTCCTTACATATGACACAAACCAATAAATCAACATTCAATTGAATAAATTACATTTTTCATTTTTTTAAAGAGTCATCTGAATCATAAACAAAAAAGCAACAGTATCCAACATCACAGATTATTTACCAAATTCTTCAATCAATTGAAATACTCGTATTTCTAATGACTACTTCCTCGGCTATCTGTTTTCTTTAATCAAAATATGTATATAAAAATCGCGTCTGTTCATGTACAACTTATTCCATTACGGAGTAACATCTTTTGGCAAAGAATAAATTTGATATACTACTTCTATTGTTTTTCTAATCACAAAAGACATTAGAAAACAGATATTAATAAAAATATCTGAGGGGTGATGTCAAGGAGGAGGTAAACACACTGATAAAAGAAAGTTCCAGTGGAGACACCCCTACCATGAGCAGTAAACGCCTTCAACCCTTTACACGCTGATTTAAATTTATCAACGGCATCTTCCGGATTCAGTGTGATGGCCCCCACAACAGTAACATGAGGATCAAAATCAGGACCGTTGAATTCTGATCGGAGGGTGTTCATCACATTTTTCACCCTCTGCTTTACATCTTCTGATGGGAGTCCCCACACCGAATACACGTCTGTTTGGGTCGCCATTTCTTTCTCTCTACAAATTTGACTTTTTTTTTTTTTATTTTTTTATTTATGAGAATTGTAGGAATTTGTTTGAGTGTTATTGGGATTTTGAGGATTGTAATGAAGAAATGGGGGATTTTGTTCTGATTAGCAAGTGGGAAATTGAATATTTGGTTTTGTTATTTTTTAACTTGTGAGAGGTGTCAGATTGCTGGTTCAGTAAGGTTCTCCGCCTTTCCTTAAACCAAATTGCAATATTACGTTTGTGGTTGATTTCTTCAATTATTTTAATGAACTGGAGTAATAGCTAATATTGCTAACGTTTTCGAAGTTATCAATTAGAAAGAATTAATAAAATAACTAATTGGACAATGCACTTCTAAAATTATGTACTTTATATAGCTATATTAGGGTACGTATTAGGTAGAGGTGTCAAAACCAAACCGAATTGAATCGAACAAAACATTCGTTTTGAATTGTAATTGATCCGATTTGATCTGAAAAATTCAACACCCAAACCCGATCTTTAACTGAATTAAACTCAACCTGAATCCTAATTTGACCCGGTTTGAACTTAACCCGGCACCGATTTGACCCGACTTGAACTCAACATGAAACCAATTTGACTCAAATTGAACTCAAACCGAACCGGTTTGATCCGATCAATGGCGGATCTAGAAAGGCACAAGGGGCAACACATGCTACCCCTGAAAAAAAAATGTTGATCAAAGAGAACTATTATTATGGATAGCAAGTCTCTTTGATTCAACCATATCAAATTAATTGTACTTTGTACCAACTTTCGCTGCTATTAGCTTTAAATTAAAGAGACTTTTTTTTTTTTTTTTGACAAAGCTTTTTTGTTTTTTTAATAAAACTTTTGCTTCTTCTTTATATGTTTGCAAAACTAATTATGTATTCAACTTTCTTTTTTAGGGAGTCTTTCATTTAATTTATGAAAAATCAAGCATTATAATTTATGATTTTTATATTATAAAATAAATATATACTTATACTTTCATTATTTTTTATTCATCGTAAATTGATATATACTTATACTTTCCCTTCACCTCTGATTTCTCCATATTCAGATTTTGCCCGAAAGCTACTTTTACTAGTAGAAAAATATTAAAGGGCACTGGTTCAAAACTCCCATATAGCACCAATTTTGAACCGGTGTACATTTGAGGGATGCCAAACAAAAAAAAAAACTTTAGCAGCGGTTCAAAACCGGTACCAATAACGTGTATTTGCACCGGTTCTGTTCAAACCGGTGCGAATAATGGCCCAAAAAAATAAAATAAAAAAACTTTTGGCACCGGTTCTGTTCAAACCGGTGCGAATAATGGCCCAAAAAAATATAAAAAAAAATAAAAATTTTGACACCGGTTTGATTCAAAACCGATGCCCTTAATGCCCCAAAAAAATAAAAAAATAATTTTTTTTTTGCATTTTTTTCACTTAAATTGATATATACACACTAACATATATATAAAGTTACATATTTTCATTAAAAAAGGTTGTAATATTACAATTTTCGTCCAAAAAAATAAAATAAAATAAAATACAAGGTCACACACAAATAAAATAAAATTGAAAAAAAAAACAAATTGCAACAACAATATATGACAATAAACACCTGTAGCTGCGAGTCCACTATGCTGAAGCTCTTGGCACTCCCATTGTGGGTGATTATAAGTAAATTAATCATAACAGAGTCCAATTGATGGAACAATGCCAAAGCAGAACATTCTTTATCAAAAGAACCAAGTAAGAGGCACTATTAAAGTCAAATGCAGTAACAAGATGGATTTACAAAGATAATCTTAAACCTTAACATCTTTGCAAGAATTTTAGAGTGAAGCAAGCACAGTGTATGCTCGTTTAAGCATTAAAGTGGGAGGGGGGGGGAGCATGAAAGACGAATCAGTAGTATATAGACATACAGAGTACAAATATTCGACAGCCCTCTCAGGGTTGTTATAAGCAGCATGCAAAGCACGAACAACAGTAACCCTGTCCCAACTTCCTCCACCCATATCAAGAATTTGCTGAATGGTGCTCTCCAAATCGCTTCCCGTAACTAAATTAGATGCAACCTAGCCATAGACATTTGCGTCCCCTCTGCATACAAGTAATTAAGTTCGTATTTATTCATAAGTTCCACAAATTAGTGATTTTGATGAAAAACATTGCTTAGAATATCTAAGATATGGTTAAAACTCACGAAGCAGCAGCAGCATCAGTCAAGGGACTCACGGAAGCTGCAGCAGGAGGTTCTGTAGCTGTCTGCGTCCTAACATAACAAAATAGTATTTATAAGCACAGTAACAAAGATTATGTATCATACAAGCCTAGAAACTTTCAGTATTGAATATTAATAATAATAATTGGTACACCAAAGCACGAAGAAAAAGAAAATACTTCAAGAACTTACTGAGCTTGAGGTGCAACTGTTGCAGGCACAGTAGCCGTAGGCGTAGAGGTTGTGCTTTGAGGCTGAGCCTACAAATGTGAGCCACTTGTTATACCATAGGACAAACATGAACTACAAAAAGTAAAAAGTTAAAAATTCACCCATTTGTATATAAAGCAGTGAATTCTCTGATAAATTTGATTGCATGCTCCTTAACCTCAAATAGTCCATCCATGCGTAGCCTTATTTCTTGGCATCCAGTCGCTATTGAGGTAATACTTTCATTGCAGACTGCTTTCAGGCTATCAAGTCCAATAATGTAAGAAATTACACGACTATTAATGCCTGGATATGATTCTTCCATCCAAGATCTAACCTAAACGCATATGAAACATTAAAACCCATAAAGCCTGATTGTCAAAAATGATAAACTTGCAGCTGTACTTTAGTTATGTCTCAGAATGTACTCCTACATTGTACTGCAAGTAATACGATTGAAAATTCAAAAAGAATCAGAGAACAGCATATTTACCAGATACTCAGCTGCTCTTGCACATTTTTTTTTCAACTTCTATCAAAGGCTTGTATCCTTGCATTGCATATTCCCAACCAAATTAGGCCAACAAATCCAGAAAAGCAATAATCAGATCCATTACTCAATACTGTCTCACTCTATCCTTGCACCACTTCCAAGATGAAACAAGCGTGAGATAGTACTACAAGTATGTTGGTAATTAGTACTGAAACAAGTCTTTAAATTAAATTTCATCCAAATCCAGAGAATCAACAATCCAGTTCAAATAATACCTCACTTCAATCTAGCATTCAATACCAATAAATTAAAATATTCTTCTAACCAACATTCTCATTGTTATTCATTTCAATTACAATATCTACCAACACATTGTATCCACAACACATCAATATTTCTATTAAACTACAGTAATGTTCTCAAATATCCAAAATAAAATCCAAATATTCGTATTAAAATTGCAGAAATATACTCAAATATCCAAAATACATCCAAACTCCTATGAAATTGCAAGAATCTTAGTATACATCCAAATACTCCTATAAAACTGCAGAAATTTTCTAAATTATCCAAAATACATCCAATATATGCATATTCAAGTATCAAATCTCAGTCATTCCACCAATATACTATGTTTAGTTACTTTAGTAACTAAAACAAACAACATTAAGCACTCATTTAGTGATTGTTAGCTCGAATCTCAGTTATTCATCCATATCTCAGTATATAGAGAAGCAAAATTAGAGAAAAAAATAATTCAAAATAACAAATACAAATGAATTAAATCTTTTAGGTCAAAATAAATTTAGACAGATCTCCGCAAAATCGAACATCTAAACCCTAAAAAACGGCACAAAACAAAAAAAAAATAAAAATAAAGAAAACTGAAAGAAAACACACAAACCTGATGAGCAGCTTTGTAAGTATTCATAGTATCTTCAGTAGCAGTTTCCTTCCATCACCAGATTTATAGTCAGCCATATAGCAATGATATAATCTCCCTTCATCTTCAAGCAGAAGACTCTTGATTCACTAACAGAAACAGTAGGAGTGAGATGAGAATTGAGATGCTTCAGAATACAAGCACAGATATCAGAAAGCTCAAATTTAACGTGCTTTCCATGTAGTACTCATTTAGGACTACGACACATTTCTGACAAGGGATGGAGTCCCATAACTACCTAAATGGGAGTTTATAATATCTACGAGTGCCCAAGCACTCAAAAACATAAGCTGAGTGAGCTTACCCTCAGTTCATCACAAGACCATAATTTCCACCAAGACCACCAAATGCTTCTTGCCATGAATCCAGAAGTGCCAAAATTTTCTATCTTACATGCATGTCAGTTAGAAAAACCATTTTAAAAAATCCAAATGTTAGGTAAAATTAAGAAAAGCATTTTAAAAAGATAGAAATAGAGAGCATTGCAATACTGCAGAATTTAAGGACCAAAATAAAAGCATTAATGCATTTCCTAATATGATACTTGTATAAATTATAGTATTCATGACAAAATCACGTATAGATTACTATTATTTAAGTTTACTTAATACTTAAGGCCACAGAATAAATGGAATTCTTTGAAATAAATGTATGATTACAATAAAACCTCCTCGAACCATAGTATCAATTTCTACATTGATAAAATAACAATCCCAATCGCCCAATTTATAGGTAGAAAGTATGTCAAGTACATTATCAACTGCCTTATCACTAGCATCAATAAAAAGAAGACTTTCATTAGCAAAGAAAAGATGAGAAATAGTAGTAATACTCCTACCAATTTTTATACCATAGATCAGTCTTCTATTCTCAACATCTCGAAGTAAGGCCGAAAGACCTTCTGCCCACATGATAAATAGGAAAGGTGAGAGAGGATCGCCTAGTCTGAGCTCTCTACTTGGCTTAAAATCCCTAGATGGTTGACCATTGACCAGAACCTCAAAGGTAACACATCTCATAATCATACTTACAAAAGTGCTCGGCAAACCCAGCTCACTCATCATTTGTTCCAGAAAGCCTCACTACTCTAGTCTATCATAGGCCTTACTCATGTCGAGTTTTAGCCCAAGATACCCCTTCTTGCCAGTTTTCTTTTTTCTGAGATAGTGAAAACACTCATATGCAACCAAGATATTATCAGTAATAAGTCTTTCCGGGACAAATCCACTCTACGGTTCATGAATAATGAACAACAAAACTGTCTAGAGCCTGTTTGCTAGAACTTTTGTCACAATTTATACAAGACATTACATAAACTAATATGTCTATAATCAACAGGACACTCATACATTTTCTTTTTTGGAATTAGTACAATGTAAGTCTGATTAATAACACCTATGTCCCCCCTCATTGTTCAGAATATCAAGGACTTTTTCAATTACATCATTTCCC